TCTTCTTAGCAGTAGCAAACATTTTTGTTAATTTTAATGATGGGCACTTTTAGTGATAAGAAAGATGAAAACTTTCAGCTTTACAAAGTCAGATGAGGATCTTCAAATATGAACAGCTGGATACCCTTTCCTGGAACTGGTGTTGTGAGCTTTGTTTTATGGTACCATCAGAGAATGTTTAACAGAGCTCAGTCAGATTTTTTTTTGTTGTTGTTCCTGTCCTGATTTTATCACATTTTCTTTCCCTAAGGCATGCAATTTCATTTTCTTGCTCTAAAATAAGGATATTATCTGCTTGTATTTTTGAAGGAAGCACATCTCATTTCTGCATTTGATGCTTGTCCCACTTGCACACTGACTTCTCCAAGACCTACAGATCAGCAGCAGAATCAAAAAGATAATTAAAAGTGAGAAAGGGATCAGAAGGCAATAACTTGTTCATGAAGAAATGTTTGCATTAAGGGTATACATTGCATAAGCATACATATACTGTAAATTTTCTCATGCTCTTGAAACACTGAGAGATCAACCAATAGATACTGTGATTTTGAAATGGAACGGTATTATTTTGAGAAGCGATGCCAAAAGTAATTGTAATTGCCAGAAATCCACAGAAATTGTTAGTTTTTCTCCAGAAAGTGCAGAGCAAAGAGAGAAGCTGTCCTGGATAAAGCTGTTCTTCAGTTACTGACCCAGCAGTAAGATCTTTACTTCTGAAAGTTTAATACTATTTTGTGGGGATTCAGTAAGCTGCTGTTTCTTAGCAAAGGCTGACAGTGCTCTCTGCACAAGCTGGCTGACTCCACTGGCACCAAACTGCTGGTCCTGTGCCCCCTAAAAGCTTTTTGTTTTAATCTCAGACTGCTTGGAGTGGAGAGCAACTAACATTTGTGGATGGGTTTTCCTGCAGTCGTTCTTTGTGTATCTGTGTGCCATACTATGCTTACACATAGCCATATATAACCATGCTTAGATGGTTATTGTGGCAAACTACATTTGGAATAATCTAAGAGGATCAAATCTTCTTTAAGAAAATAAATGAGCAGATAGGTCCTTTTTATGAATTCATTTAATTTTTTCTTCTGACATATCAACAAATGAAGCCAAAAAGATATGGCTGGTCCCATACTTGAGCTATGTCATGCTATTTAACTGTACTAATAAGAAAGTGACTCAGCATTCATATGATATATTCATATAATACATTCAGATATTGTAATGTAGAATCAGGTAAAAAGTTTGGACAGCACATGAACATTTCACCCTGATGTTAATGTATTATCTCAAAGAAGGTCAAAGGGCAGCCTTCTGGAACGCAAATAGATTAATATTTTATCCTTAATTACCTTTAAGCTGTCTGCTTGTTTTCCTGTTGGCACCTGTTCTTCCTAAATGAGTTTAATTTCAAATTGGAACCAATAGATCAGATTTGCCACAGATTTTGCACTTTCCTATCAAGAGTGGTAGGAAGCACTAGAAACCAGAAAAATGGATAATTGTGACAATTGATATTTTCTCTTCTGACTAGTTGGCTTATTTCAATTCCTTGAACTGTAAATTATTTACAAAAGCTTCAAGCAGAAAATCCAGGAGTGCATCTTGCACGGTAGTTTCAGGGGACAAATAGCTGTAGAAATTAAACTCATGGGAAAGTCAAGTGACTTTCTTTTTGAAGCACATTCCTGTTTGTGAGAGAAAGGGACTTAGAGCTGGAGGAGGCAGCTTTGAGACAAATCCCACAGAACTCACATTGTAGCAGCAGCTACAGATCAACGCCTGGGTCAGTGAGCAGCATGGCCCAAATCTACTAATTCATTGCACAAAGAAATCAGAATTTGTCCAATCGCTCAGTCTCTACCAACTCTACATGCTGTTACCCACGTAATAACAGTCCTCTCCAAAAATAAACAAGGCCAAGTTACATTTCACATAGACTTGAAAATTCAATTTATCTGTAACTAAATTAACAGAAGGAAGTCCTTGAACAACTTTTGTGTTAGTTTCTACTTCTCTGCAAAAACACGAAGCCTTGCTGTCAGGCTATGTGAGGCTCACGTACCATGTGCCCTTCCATAATGTGAAAGGTCTCTCTCATTTCTGTCCAGTCATCCTCTCTTGGCCCCGTTTCACATCAGCAAACTCGCTAGCAAACCAATAACTTCATATTTGCACATTATGTTGGGCATAAAATGCCCAGAGCCACGTGGTGCTGGGACAGGTTGTCATTGCACAACTCACTTGTGCTATCAGCATGAGAAAGCTGGCTCTCCTTCAGCAGACTAATAAGAAACAGTGTTGAAGTCATTAGAGAAAGTCTTCATTTTATCAGTAATGTATGTCTTTCTAATACAATGTACGGAATGCATTCATTTTTCTATTTTTTTTTCCCCAGTCAAAATTCCCTAATGCTATCTCAGTTTTCTGCAACTTTCAGAATACCTAGCAACTTGGACTGGATTATTTTTTTGTGTCCGGAAAGAAACTCTATAGTTGTTCCACAGAATTCTTGTAGCTCTTGTGAACCTGCACTGTAGACCTTATTAGGCATTTTGTGGGCAAACTCCAGGATTGCAGAAACAGAGGTGTGTGGCAACCCAAGCTGAACTCTAAAAGGAACATGTGGAAGAAAGGCTCAATGTCCTTTACAAGTTAATAGATCTTTTTTTCTTTTCTTTTTTATTCTGTTTTCCATCATAGGACATCTTAATATTCTCATCCTGTTGAAACCCATATCTTGCATGACTTCTCTTTGATCTTCTGGCTTTCATCGCTTTGTTTCTTTAACTTTGCTAGGAAAACATACATTGATTCCTGCAAAAACTTGCAAAAGACAGGAAGGCAAGTGAGCTACATTCATCATGGTAGAAAAAGGCAGCTTGCTGGTACTTGCTGTCAAGCAACAAGTGGTGGTTCTAGCTGCTGTGGTGACACCAGCACTAGGGTGCATTGCTCAGGATGCTCACACACACACAAGGTGTGTGGGGATTCTGAACAGATGGAGTGGGCTGAGCTGGTGGAGTGGGCTCAGAAAGAGGCAGAAAATGGCCTGAGGTCTGGAAAAGCTGTTATACAGAATTTTTTAGGCCATTAAAGTGATAAATAGAATCATAAAATCATGAAATATCCCGAGTCGGAATGGACTCACAGGGATCACAGAGTCCAATTCCTGACTCCACATAGGGCCTCCCAAAATAAATGTAATTTTCTGAATTTACTTTTACACTTTAAGAAGATAAATCAACTTGAAACTCGCTGCCTTTGTTTCAGTACATTATCTAACTGAATGAACAGTTGTGAATTTTACACAGAAGTTATTGTGTGTAGCTTTATGCGGTTTATTATCTGGGACCTTAAATATTTAAATCTGATGTATGGGCATGAAATCTAGAACAGACCAGTTGACACAACAAATAATTTATTGAATGCAGCATCTTCTGTGGAAATATGCACAAATATATCTTTTTTTTCTCGCCTTTACCCTGTACTTCTTGATTTTGCAGCCTAGCATCCCAAGGAAGGAACTTTTTGGTGGTTGTGTCTGTTCATCTGTCCCCCTCTACTAACTTTTAAACTGACTGCCAAATTTTAACAGTGCAATAGTATGGCACATAGCTCAAAGGCATTCGGATTAATTTCGCCTAAGTTTAGACTCTGGATATCGTATCAGTATGTAGTATCATCTGAATTGTCACCTTAGGTTGTCCTTACAGTTAGTGGAGACCAGTTGGCACTTCTCAACTGGATTCAACTGTCCTGATTCAGACATCTATTTTGGGATAGCATGAATCACAAGCCAAGAGTGCCTTTCTGTACCACTTAGTTGGGATCATCAGCTGAGATGAAGAACAGCCTAATAGTGGAGTTTTCTATGAGACATCTGAAAACTGGCTCTATGTAAGAAATGAAATTTATATGTCCACTGAGGCCAAAGCTGTGGTGTGTGCCCTCCAGCAGTGGCTAGCTGGTGGTCAGCTGCTGTGGGTATCAGGCTGGTAGCTGACACTGACCCCTTGTTGGGAGCTGATGGTGCCCTTCATCCTGCTGCTATCTAGGGGATGTGCCAAGGAGATGAGTGCACTGCCAAGGTGAGGAGACAGTGGTACAGAGCTTTGGGTTGTTGTGATGGGTGGGTAAGAAAAAAGACACCAGTTGGTAAGAAGCAAGTCTTCACTGGATTTACTTCTCACAGAATTAATTGCTTGTTCTCATGAAATCACCTCATTTCTGCATGCTGTGACTGCTCAGATGAAACCACTTCTACAACAGCCCTTTCATCATGCAGAGGCCAAGCCCTACCTCTGATCAACATAGGGTGCCGATTTCCATTTTCAGCTTGACAATTTTTGAACTTCCGTGTTTTTCCTCACCGCCACTCTTCCTTCTCAGAAAAAGTCACCACAGATACCTGCAAAACTAATTATTTTCTCTGAATTTCCCCGGGCCTGCTGAAGTTCTGATGATGACTGACTGCTCTGCTGAGGCTGCTCCCCACATTCATTATCTCCGTTTCCCATGGCTGTCCTGCTCGTGCTCCACATTCTCTGGGTCAGAGCATCTCTTTGCTGAATGCAGTAAATGTCTTACTCAACAAACCTAAATCTGTAAAATGCACAGTAATGCAAATAAAGAAATAGGAATACACTACTGTTCTGATTCTGTCCTGAATGTTGGCACTACTCATTCTAAAATGCTGGGCCTGGGATGTGTCGTGACAGCAATGTTTCCTGGTTAATCTCAGTCACTTGGCTGTTTGCAGAAGACTGAGAAGCAGCATCGCTGCAGGAGAGGCAGACACACTGGCAGCAACAGCATCTCACAGGAGGAAATGACCAGAAGGAGACATTTCTCAGGAGTCTGTTAATCCCTGCAATGTCATTGAATGACAAGAGTCATTACTGCCTTAATAACCTTCATAACAAGTTGTGCTTTGTCATGGTGACTTTCTGTAAGTAATAAGGCAGGGCATTGCTCAAGGCTGGCATTAGTTTGGTTGCCTCCACAAGACTGTTCTCATCTCAGGATGTCTTGCTAATGCATATTTAGTTAGTAGCTTACTTTATGGGCACAATTCCATTCATGTTCACATTTTCATTATCAGCGAAGCATAGCTCACTGCTGTTTTTCAAAAGGCAGAACAGAGATAGCTCAGTGTTTGCTCATAGCCACAGGGCGATTCAGTGACTCACTCAAAGAGCGGTGCGAAAGGCAGGCAGCTTTTGTGTATGTTTCATTATAGGAAAACCAACATAAGTAGTATGGGCTCGGTGAAAAACTTCAGAACAAATGAACCGGAGCAATCTCCCCCAAGCTGGTGCTGCACAGAATTTTGTTTGGATTTGTGTGCTGAATGTCAGACGGTGGATGCTGCCTCCTCCTTCCACTTTCAGAAGCTTCAGCCTCTATATATCTCCAGCAAGGCCACTGCCCAAGATTCCTTTCTTTGGGTATCTTTGTCCTCCGGGTTGGACAGCAGTGGTAAGTATGGTAGTGACGTGCAGTGAACTTGTTGCTATCCTTTTGCTGAAAAAGGATAGGTCTTTTGATCACAGCGAAACGAGTCATTTCTCAGTTCTTTCCAGTTTGCTGCCAGTCATGTTCCTGGTACCAATACTGACCATTCCTTTGTCCTCTCTTTACTGCTTTGTCTCTTGCATACTTTCACTCCTGCCTCATCCAACAGTTTCTTTCTTTGCCATAGGTCATTGGTCTGCCTTTCAGGGGCTGTCTTGCAAAACACAGCTGATGCCAGTGTTCAGTCAATAGCAGTAAGTCAGGTAGAAGGAAGCCGAGAAAGAGTCTCTGAACTATCTCTGTGCATGTGCATCTGTTCTGCACCAACCTGTTAAGGCTCAATTAATGTAAGTTGTTGCTGAACAGTTATTTCAGGTTGCCTCGTGGTTGGAAAGACTAATATGCATGGAATTCTGCAATTAAAAGACACAATGGCCTCAAAACAAAATTGCAAGCCAAAGAAATCTTCAAGCGCAGAGACAGATACACAGTATCTAGAGCAGAATCCAGTTCCATGAGAATGCCTTTGCTCTAACGTGTCTATTATAAATGTGCTTTGCTATGCTTTGCCTGTGGAGATCAGCGGCTCAGGCAGTGGAGATGAGTGGCTCAACTTAATGCTGGTGCTATTTCAGAAGCCTGAGACAAGTGGCTGTCACTGACAGGGGAAATTACAGGGGAAACCCTTGCCCTTTTGGAACAGCTGGGTGCCAGCCTGGACACCTTCCCAGTGCTGGACACATAGAGGTGAATCTTGACTCTAGCCAACACAGTCAGTAAAGTCTGAAAAGCAGTTTAGCTCTTCCTAAAGTAGGACCTTGTGAGTGACTGAATAAGCCACTTGATACGGCTGCACTGGCTGCTTCAAAGGAGCAATGGTAGATTAAAAAACATTTAGGTTTCCCAACTGATAATGCCTGCAACTGCTCAGTTTCATAACCTGCATGACTTATCTGGCTTCTTCTAAGTGGTCTGTCCCTCTGAAGAGATAAGATCACACAGAAATTTTCAGAACACTTGTTTCTCACACAATCTGCTCCAACTTTTGGCAGCGTGACCCAAACTTGCTTTGCTTCTGCAGGGTGAACCATTCTCCTTTTCATCATTCCTTTCAACAATGTCAGTCCTGGAAATGCACCTATCTCTTGTTTCAAAGGTTTTTCTGATAAAGAAGTATTCAGACTGCTGCTAAGAGCTGAGAGTGCTATTTATTACTCGCATAACACCATGAGAGAGCTCTGACTTTAATTTTAGTACAAGAATTATGATATCTGCTACCACTTTTTTTCTAGTTTTGCTAAGATTCTTGGATTTTTTGGTGTTCACCTGGACTGGGACCTCTCTTCTTCCTTCAGAGGAGCTCATCTGTTTCTTCTGATAATGCCACCAAGGTGTCCTTTTGCCAGAACAGAAGAAAAGAGACTGTCACAGAAAAGTCACTGATGGCTCTGTTGGCTGCCTCAGTTCATTTGCTGTTGTTGCAGTGAGTGTGATCTAATGGAAAGCAGAACATTCTTATTATAGCAAGCTATAATTCACTGGCTGAACACTCAAGTGTATGCAGTCACCAGCACATGAGCTTTAGAGTAGCAGCTGGACCTAAATCTGTTTGCTACACTGTCCTCACAGCTACATGGGAAAGAACTGTTTTTCCCAGTTCCTAAACTTCAGCAATTTCCATTTTGTGCTGAGATGAAAGCAGAAAATGTTCTTGTAAACATTGTCCTGGAGCAGCCAAGAGATCAGCATTTAGGGCACTGGGTTGGGAGGCAGAAAATACATGTATGCACTCTCCTTCTCCGGTGGGAATAAATATTATATATTAATATATATATTAATATTATATATTAATATATATATTAATATTATATATGTATTAATAAATATTATATATTAATATATATTAATAAATTTAATCTGGAACGAGCTCTGGCAGGGCAGACTAAGGAACCTTCGTATAGATTGGAGGTAGGGACCACAGATCTGGAACATGCCAACAAAGTTCCCACTGTGAGCCCAAAGGAGTTAAGCTGTTTATCCTCCCTCGTCAGAGCTGTATCCTATTTGCTGTGGGAATGATGCTCTCTTGTGGTTGCCAGAATTGCATCCCACAGCTAAGAAAACTGTAACTGAGGAAAATGTTGTCTGCCTTCCTGTGTCACTGGACTGTGATGTTACTGACTCGGAGTCATTCAGCACCCCATCACTGAACGCCTGCATGTTTTTCAGGTCATTTTACCACCCTGTTGGGCTCCTCTCGAGTCACAGTCCACTCCCAAAGTGTTCATGCAGAGATGGACAGGAGCTGAAGTAAGGAGGGCAGGCTGCCACTGACATTTTTTTACACGACATAACTGTCGTCTTTGCTTTTCCTCCTCTTTTTCCAACCCCAGCATTCCCGTCTGAAATAAGAGTTTTACTCATAGAATCACAGAATCGCTCAGGTTAGAAAAGACCTTCAAGACCATTGAGACTAACCACGACCTAACCATACTACCCTAACAACCCTCTGCTAAATCATGTCCCTGAGCACCACATCCAAATGGTTTTTAAACACATCCAGGGATGGTGACTCAACCACCTCCCTGGGGAGCCTATTCCAGTGCTGAACAACTGAGCACTTTCCTTTCTGTAAAGAAGTTTTTCCTGATATCCAACCTAAACTTCCCCTGGCACAACTCGAGGCCATTTCCCCTCATCCTGTCACCTGTCACCAGTGAGAAGAAACCAACCCCACTCTCACTGTAAGCACCTTTCAGGTATTGAAAGAGAGCAGCAAGGTCTCCCTTCAGCCTCCTCTTCTGCAGACCAAACAGCCCCAGTTCCTTCAGTCTCTCCTCATAGGGCGTATTCTCCAAGCCCTTCACCACCCTGTTGCCCTTCTTTGGATCTGCTCCAGCCCCTTCCACGTCCTTTCTGTACTGATGTGCCTAAAACTGAACACAGCACTCGAGGTAAGGCCTCACCAATGCCGAGTACACGGGCAGCATGACTTCCCTAGTGCTGCTCACCACACCGTTCCTGGTACAATACAGGGTCAGGATTCCGGCTTCCCTCCTGGATTGCCCCTTTTATTGTCACCGGGGTCCCGCTAGGACACGCCATGTCCCGCACAGCGCAGCACGCGGCTCGTGTCCTTCCTGCTGCTGCCCTCCTGCGTCCCGGAGCCGCCATGGCGCCGCGCGGCGGGAGCAGCGGTCCGGCTTCTTCCTCAGGTTTGGTTTCAGCTCGCTGGAGTAAGCAGCGCATCGCTGACATCAGCCTCGGCTAAGAGAAGCCGAAGGGGTTCTCGGCTGCCTTATCGAAGCTCTGGAGCGCTGCCTTATCGAAGATGTTCACCGTGCAATCATCTTCATTTGAAAGATAGCAGTACCGGATGAGGGACGTGGCTAGTGGGCATGGTGGTGATGGGCTGACAGTTGGACTAGATGCTCTTAGAGGTTCTAATAATTCCATGACTCTATCATTCTGTTATTTGTCCTTTTTCTGCTTTAAGGGAAATTTCAGAAGGCAACATTATTCAGATTTTTTCTTTTTTGCTTAGATCAATTATAAGGAATAACCTCATGCATCAGTACAGGTTAGAGGGTGGTTTGCTGGAGAGGAGCTCTGTGGAAATGGCCTTGGGGGTCCTGGTGGACAACAGATTGGCCATAAGCCAGCAGTGTGCTCCACTGGCTAAGAAGACCAGTGGGATCCTGGGGTGCATTAAAAGGAGTGTGGCCAGCAGGTCAAGGGAGGTGATTCTGCCCTTCTGCTCTGCCCTCATGAGGCCACATCTGGAATACTGTGTTCAGCTCTGGGATCCCCAGTTCCAAAAAGACAGGAAGTCCAGCAGAGGGTGACAAAGATGATTAAGGGTCTGGAGCATCTCCCTTATGAGGAAAGGCTGAGAAATCTGGGTCTGTTCAGCCTGGGGAAAAGAAGACAGAGGGGGAATCTGGTTAATATTTATAAATATCTAAAGGGAGGTGGGAGGCGAATGGATGAGGCCAGGCTCTTCACATTGATAGGATAAGGAGCAATGACCTAAAACTCGAACATGGGAAGTTCCATACTGACATGCAGAAGAACTTCTTTATGGTAAGGGTGATGGAGCACTGGAACAGGTTGCCCAGAGAGGTTGTGGAGTCTCCTTCTATGGAGATATTCAAGACCCATCTGGATCCCTACCTGTGTGACCTATTGTAGGGAACCTGCTTTAGCAGGGGAGTTGGACTTGATTATCTCTTGAGGTCTTTCCTAGCCCCACAATTCTGTGATTCTCTGATATGTACCTTCAAGAAATTCACTGTTTGGCTCAGAATAATCCCATATACAAATGGCAGAAGACAAAAGCAGTCTTTTTCATTTCCTATGGGTTTTCGTGGCTGTGTTCATGTTGCTACATAGGTATTCTGCTTAATGATAAACAGTGTCCTTCAGATGAGACACAACGCAATGTCATAGGTTTGGGTTGTATTTATTTTGGGAGCATTTTGCAGAAAGAAGAAACACATTGATTTATAGACCTTTACACATTGGCATAACGGACACCATAAATCTGTGCAAGTCCTACAGGTATATTTTGGATAATTTAGAGGAAAAAAAAGCTTTCCCTAAGTGAATATTTCATTCATACTGTTTCACTGGTTTTGAAGGAAAATGATGGCATAGTCATTTCTGAAATACAGAATATATCTGGAATACAGAAGAATAAGTAATTTTTTGGACCCTTAAGTAACAAGGCAAATGCAGTAAGAAAGAACACAGGCAATGTTTACTTTACTCTGGCTTTTTTTGTTGTTGTTGTTTTTGTTTTGTTTCTTACTTTAATTATGCTGCCAAATAATGCATTTGGCAAGACTTGCTTCAAATCTTTGCTTTTTACACCATGGTTTATTTAGAAATACTTTTTAGCAGTTTTTTACCACATAGATTCATGACTTGACTCCTGTACTTTGCTTCCTCAAAAACACCCCTGATAATTTTTATCTGCTCTACTTTAGCTCCCAGCAATCATTTACATAGTTCTTTATTTTTTTTAACCCCTTAACGCCACTTAACATTATTATTTCCACTCCAGATACATGAAGATTCCAGCCAGATCATGAAGGATTTGCTGGAACAGAGACAAGTTCAAAGTAGTGATACTCTGTTAGTTTCTCTCTCTCTCTGTTTTTTTTTACAGACAAGCTACAGATGATCATTTTGCTGTCTGCTCTCAACAGATCAAGGACAGCATGTAGCTGTAAAGGACTGAGTTGGAAATTTAACATTTCTTCCCTGTTCCCCTCTCTGGATGCAGGGAGAACTCATGTAGAGGTGAGACATGGCAGTAGCACATTTTATGGCTTGGGCTCAGCAATACCACAGCAGCCTCATTTGCTGCTGAGGTGGCGACCTATGTGCTATGAGCTTCGACAAGGGGTCAGGGGAGAGACTTGCTCTTCCCATTCTGCACAACAGGAACAGGTCATAATCCCTCACAGGCTGCTGTGAATTTGGTTATGTTTTTCCTTACAAAAAAATGGCCATACTCTGCTTTGAGTAGGTGAATAACATATCCTATATTAAGTCTCCTTTTATAGCTTATGACTCTATACAAAGCAATTTCCTTATGCTAAGCAAAGCAATGCTCTCCTTTTCTTCAGCAACAGCACTAATCACACACAAAAAAAGAAATCTGACACCATTAAAGATTTAAGTATTTAAAGATTTTAAATACCTGAGGATCGCTGGAAAATGATTTACAGCCATCAACATTTCATGCTTGCTAGACAGAAGTTCTGCATCTGTGATCCCTCAATCTTTTGCCTTCTGCTTCACACCATTAACGAGATGAAATATAAGTTGCATGCTCTAGGGATCTACTTATTCCATAAGACCTTTTGCGCCACTGTACTTGCACTGGTAAATTACCAGCCAGGTCGTCATTGAGAGGTGATAACATTATATCCTACTACTGGGCCAAAGACAGACATCGCCACTTTGAATAGACCTCTCCCCTGAAGGAAATGATGCTGATACTTAGCTTTTGAATAGTGTTGTGAGGATTTGAGATAAGGAAGGTTAATGTAAATTTGGAGCTAAGAAGAGATAATGTAGATTTGAATAATAGATTTATATAGGGTAAGTACAGTGAGTTATATTAATTATAATTTACAATTCAGCGCATCTTTTTGGATAAGGGCATCAGCAAATTTGAGGCAGCCAGGACTTGTTGATACATTGGGATACCAACAGAAAGGCCACCTACTCTTGGACTGTCAGGCAGAGGATATCTGGGGTGCCCTGCAGTGTTGAAAATGGCATAAAATGCTACATTTAGGCCAATTAATCCCCTTTTACAGATCACTCACAGATCAGCATCTCATATCAGTTGAGATGGTGTTTACACCACCTGGGACAACTGCTTAAGGCTGGCTATTAGGACATGGGACCTTTGAAAAAACCACAGCAGATGAGTCCAGAGCATGTCAACTGACACTAGAGAGGTACATTAAAGCACTTGAGTCCTGACTTTCAGACTTTTAGACTTGATGAGCAGGTGAGCATAACCGAAGGCAGATATCTTGTCAGATGTTAGGAACCTTGCTGATGCTCCAAAGGTGCGTGATCCACAGAATCACACAATGTCCTGAGGATCATCGTGTCAAACACCTGGATCCATACAGGATCACCCACAATTCAAACCCTATGTCCGAGAGCATTGGGCAAACACTCTTCGAACTCTGGCAGTTCAGCGCCGTGCCCACAGCCCTGTGCAGCCCGTTCCATGCCCACCACCTCTGGTGCAGCCCTGTCCCTCACCCCCAGCTGTCCTCCCCTGACGCAGCTCCATGCC